CAATTGTTTATTTAGAGCCTCCTCCAAAATACTTTAGGTTACATGGTGATTAAAAAAGGAATTAAAGCTGATCCTTTAAAATCACAACCCATCTCAAAAATGCCGCCTCCTAGAACAAAAAAGGAGATAAAGGGTTTCTTATGTCACTTGTAATACATAAGCCGATTCATCACCCATCTAGCTAACACGTGAGAACATATATGCAAGCTACTGAAAAGGGAGCTTTCATAGTGGAACCCAGATTACCAAACAACATTTTGAGAAAAATTAAGGAATACTTATTAAATCTTCTTATCCTTTAGCCTCGTAGGATAAGGAGATCATTATTGCTCTACTTGTTTGTAATAAAAGAATCTCGGCTTAATGCTTGTGCAAAATGTTGAAAATTCAAATAAAGAAAATTCCATCAATTATCTAAGTAAGCGCATGCTAATGCACGAGTTCAAGTATAATCAAATTGAAAAACTTTGTCTTGCACTAGTATGGATTTGATAGAAACTCCAACACTATCTTTACTTATATACAACACATGTCCTTGCTTACCAAAGCCCTTTGAATAAGCAAAGAATATTGTTGCTAACCAAAGCCCTTTGAAGTTCCTTATATGAAGGTCGGTTCTTGATAATAAGATGGCAAGGTGCATGGAGGTACTAGTATCATTTGATCTAAAGTATGTTTCTAGAAAAACTATTAAAAGTACTATAGTAGCATATCAGTTGGCAGCTGCTCCGGTTGTTAAAATTACCACTATTCGCATTGTTCTTACCTTGGCTACAATGCATAATGGGCCTCTTCGCCAGTTTGATATATCCAAACAATTTCTCCATGTTTATTTGAATCATGAATATTTATGGAACAAACTCAAGGTTTTATTAATGCTGCTAATCCTGATTATATTTGCAAGTTGAATAAATCTTTATATGGTCTCAAACAAGCACCACTTGAATGGGTTCATCGTCTTGCTAATTTATTATATGGCTTTGGTTTTGTTTCTTCCAAAGTCGATAGTTCTCTGTTTATTTTGAATAAGGATGGTTTGAAATTTTATATCCTAGTATATGTTGATATATCCTTATTACATGTTCCAATGCTAACAAATTGAATTGGCTTCTTCACAAATCTGGGCATATTTCCTGTCTGTGATCTTGGATCATTGAATTTTTTTTCTTAGGCATTGAGATTCAACCAAAAGAGGGGGGTTGGTCTTACCCAATGCCAAAGTTATGGGTGCTCTAAGTATGTCACTTTAACTCATCCAAATATCAATTCTTGTGTTAATAAGTTATTTTAATATATGCACAACCCCACTGATGAACATTAGAAAGAAGTTAAAAGCAGCTCATTATCTTAATGGCACTTGTGATTATGGATTAATTTTTTCCAAGTCTAGTAATCTTACCTTGTAATTAGGGAGGTGTCTTGATGATCTTTGTTCCATAAGTAATTATGTTGTTTACTTGGATTCAAATATCTAGTTTCATTGTAATCAAAGAAGCAGTCAGCTATTGCTCGCTCTTTTATTGAAAATTAAGTATAAGTTTGTGGCAAATGCTACTGCTAAAATGGTGGCTTTGATCCTTACTGCATGAGCTTTGCATTCCTCTTTCTAGGCTAATGGTGCTGTGATGTGATGATATTGGTGCACTTTCTTTATGTGCTAATCTAGTCTTCCAAGCTCACACTAAATATATTTAGCTTGATTATCATTTTGTGTGTGAACAAGTTCAATTGCAATATTTGCAGGTTCAACATATTTCAGGTGATGATGAACTTGCGGATATTCTCACAAAGCCCCTTAATCAAAGTATTTCTAAAGTTTATCAAGACAAGCTTCGATTGGTGACTTTCCCATCTTCAGCTTGAGGCCTAGTGTTAAGGAATATATTTCTCCCTTATTCTAGTGTACATTCCTTCCTTATTTATTATCCTGTGAAATCCTTCTCTTACTATAATTCTATTCTTTTTCCTCTTTTGTAATTAAGGTTTATACTATATAAATAGACAGGGCTCTTGTATGATGATTATTAAGTCAATACAAAGTATCAATTATTCATGCAAAAAAATAAAAAATTGCAAGATCAGTAACTTTATGAAATAATAATAAAAAAAAAAAATTGCACGTTCCTACTTGAATTTTATTTGCAAGATCAGGAATTCAAAATCTGAAATCACTTTTGTAGAGAGTGCTTTTTCTAAGAGGGTGCTTGAGCTTATTATAGCTTATTAGACACATATTTTGTTAAAAGAAAATGAGTTTATTTGATTTGTGTTTTCAGATAATGTTAAATATGAATGCAAAAAATTAGCTTATTCAAAAAGCTAAATTTTCTTAGCTTATTCGGTCAACTGTATAGCTCTTTTTCCCAGAAGACAAAAATTATCCTCGCCTAATGTTTAAAACAAAAAAAATATACTCTACTATAGAAAAGGAATTTTATATTGGATATAATTTAACTTCAAATTTTATTATGTTAGGTTATTAAGTTATATACTTTAATAAGCGAATATAATTTAATTTTATATTTTATTATATAGTGAATTATAGATATACTTTAATTTTATATTTTATAGTAAATTTTTTAAATTATTATGAACTATTTTTAGATAAATGTTAAGTTTGACATGCAAAAAATTGCTTATTCAAAAATGCTAAATTCTTCGTTAGCTTATTTCGTCTTATTCCTCAGAAGACAAAAATTATTCGCCTCGCCTGAATTTGTTGTTAAAACAAAAAAAAAATATACTCTTACTATAGAAAAGGAATTTTTTATATTGGGATATAATTTAACTTTCAAAATTTTATTTAATGTTAGGTTATATAAAAGGTATATATCTTTAATAAACGAATATAAATTATTTAATTTTGATATTTTATTATATATTGAGAATTTAAATAGATTATACTTTAATTATGTATAGTTTTTATGAAGTAAATTTTTGTAATTAATTATGAATCTATTTTTTTAACCTTTTAAATATAATGAATTTGGGTTAACACTCATATATTAATTTTTTATTTTCCAATGGACATTCTGTTATTAAGAATTCAAATTTATATTATATATAGAATAGTAAATTCTTTATTCATTTACAGCATTTTTTTTTAATAAACCCATATTTATGTTCTTAATAGTTGAATATTTAAATTTTTCACTTTTTTCTTAATACTGTATGGTAAGTATAGACAGTTTAGCATTGAACAATAAAAATTGTGAGGTTTAGTGATAGTGAGGTTAGTCTAAAGTTATTATGGAGAAAGAAAGTTGATTTGGTTTACATTTTTTTTGTTTAACGGATTTGTAAGCTAGCAGGGAAGTTTTTTATACCAATGGAATGATCCTTTCTGTTAATTTTTATCTGACCGTATCGTGTAAAAATTGGAATGGATACTTAATGTACCAATTAAATCGACAGCATAAATTTTTTTTATTATAAAACAGTGGTTTTTATGCTTTGTTGATTTTTATTTGTAAAATTTTGCTGTTTGATCTTGTTTGTGGAGAAATACTTTATGAGCTGACCTCCATTAGCTGAGGGAATTTTAATGTTTTTCCTGTTTCCAAGGTCTTCCTTCTTAACTTAGATGAGGGAGAAAGTTCATGCAATAATTCTGTTTGCCCCACTTTTATGGTTTGTCTGATATGTAATTTCCTTTCGAAATATTGATTTTTGAAGAAGTAGAGTATATTTAAATGTTTTGTGGTCTCGTTTATTTCCTGGCTAGAAATTCATTGGTTGAAGTCTAAATTAATTAGTTTCATATTAAGATAGCTTCAACAATGTCTGCTTGCGCATAGTTGGTGAGAGGGAGTAAATTTGTGGTTTTTACATTGGCATTGCATAAACTTAGCTTGTTTCCTTTTTTCTTCTTTTTTCTTTGAGAAGGGAAGCAGGTTTATTCGGTGAAAACCCCGCTGACTGGCTTGTTTCCGAGCACAATGTGGGCTTGCTGCTTTTTACACATGTTAATCCATGTGTATTTTTTGTCTTTAAGTTAATAATTTTGTTCTTTTTGCCTTTTGAATGGCAACCAAGGCCAGATGGTGTAGGATCCATCGCTGTCTTCAAAGGCCAGCAGATGGTCATGGGGGAAAAGGGGTGGAGATTATGGCTCCAGGGACACGCAGATGGGGGGTTAACTGGGTTGCCGAGTTTGAAGAAAAGGAATACGCGAAGATTGCCTTGCAGGGAGGTGAAGGATGGGAAATGACCAAAAAATAGAAAAGTAAGCGGATCTGTTTTGGAGTGGTGGTTGTGGTAGAGGTTACTAAATGGTGATTCGAGATGTAAAATCGAACTCGCGGAGGTGTGTGGTTATATGAAGTAGGTGTTTCGGGCGTTTATATTTTATTATATAGTGAATTATAGATATACTTTAATTTTATATTTTATAGTAAATTTTTTAAATTATTATGAACTATTTTTAACTTTTATATAATGAATTGGTAACACTCATTATTAATTTTTTTTTTTCAATGGACATTCGTTATTAAATTAAATTTATATTATATATAAATAGTATTCCTTTATTCATTTACAACCATATTATGCTAATAGTTGAATATTAAATCAAATTTGTATATTTGAATTTCTCTTGTATAATATAATGCAATTTTATTATTATGCAAAAAGTACATAATATATAAAAATATAAAAGGTCAAATATGTAAAATAATACACTCATTTATTCAGATATCTCATTTACCAAATAATCTTAATCATTCAAATTTTTCAGATATCTCATTTACCAAACAATTTTAATCATCCAACAATAAGCTGATGATTCAGATTCAACATTCAACCCAGTCAAATGACCCTAAATACTACTTCCAACCTGAACTTGGAGACGTAAATTAATGTAAACTAAATAAACTAAAAAGGGATTGTGCATGTAACAGAACAAGAAAGGAAATCCTAAAATAATCTTTGAAGAAACCAACACAATACCCAGTTCAGCCATTGTGCAGACACTAGATGAGCTCGATCTGTTACTCGAAATATAAAGAAATATTCAAAGTTCACCTTTCAATGTCAAAATGAATTCATGTCTCGCAACTTATATCATTCAAGAGCCATCCATAACACTCTTATAAGATACAGAACGCAACCTGCTCCAATAACTGGGCAGCAAGATCATCCTACAGTTCTTGAGACTGAGAACTGCAAATACTTACAGATTGGAAGCACAAGCATTCAGTTCATATAAATAATCAAATACCATTCGATTACCTACAAATTATATACAGTAAAACGAACTACAATTTCAATATTTGATTTACTTGCCTCAGCTAGACTAATTAATTCTTGATCTCACAAGCTCTTGAATCCTCACTTAACCAAAAAAAGTGTAAAAATTCTCTACATAATCATATTCAACTCCGTAAGGTCATCCATTGGTATTGCAAGACCTACAGAATCATGGTCCTGTAAGCCATCATCATCGAAATTCAACCATGAATAGAGATCTTGCGGCCCATCAAGATCATTTGGAACTTCTAATCCAATTGTATCCAATTCATGTAGCTGCAAGTTTGAAAAATCCATGGGTTCATCAGCTTCTTTAGAACCATCCTGAGTGATGTTACCAAGAGACATGGACCCAGAATCTCTATTTATTTTGTTACTAGCATTAGCCCCTGAATGGCTAGATCCACGAGCTCCGTTTCCTGATGTTGACAAATGATTAATCTTTTGCTTGGGCTTTAATTTTGTTTTGCGCTCATTTTTAAAGCCATCCAACAACGAGCGACTTGTTCCAGAAACAGAATTAACTCTTGTGCTATCCTTGTTTAGATCCTTATCTCTATCACTTCTCTTGCCTTTTAGCACAGCACTGTCAAGGGTAGATGTTACCCTTGATGAAGCACTGCCAATAACATCATCAATAAGGGCTTCCCTCTTCTTACCTCTATCAAAGTAATCACCATGTGAATCATATCTTTCGAAGGCACTAGATACGGTACCTGTGGCAACAAAGGAGAATCCAAAGAGTCATTTTTTTCTCTTTCTTTCTTCTTTTTTGTGTTTGTGGGTGTTTGCCGAGATAAACTTATTTTCTTATTGTGAAGAAAAGTAAAACTTGCTTAAAAATCACTAAAATACAGTAAAAAAAGTCACTATTATACAAAGAATATTATAATCCTTCAACAGAATTTCTGAGCTCAGACTATCAAGAATGTATACCATATTGTAGATCATATGTTCTAAAAATTTAATTCACCCAAAAAGAGAAATATTGAACTTGGCATACCTGATCCTCTGGCTTCAGCATTATGGTTAGAAACTTCATTGCATGTGTTACTTGCAGTTCCTGAACCAACACAATCAACAGATTTGGCATCATTGTTGCATGGCGGCGTGGAGAAGATGATCTCCTGCAATGCAGGCTCACTGAAGCAACTGCTACCTGTATCTTCAAATTTTCTACATCTAGCAAGAGTTCGCTTGATGAAAGCCAGGGCAACTTGTCTTGAAACTTTGCGGACTGCACTTTTTGAGGAATTATTCCCACGACAAGCCTGCATAAATTAATTTAACAGAAAATAAATAGTCTATAATTAATGACATAAAAAATGATAAGGATCCAAATGACCTGTATTTTATGCCTTTCTTAATAATCATTTTTTTTTGTTTTTGTCCTTTTAAGTTCTCAAACTATTCAGACTCATTAGTCACTTCTTGTTTCCATAGAGGTGTGCTTTACATTTCTCTCTCCCTCAGAAACACATATATAGTACAACTTTCAAACTACCTACCAATACTAAAAAAACAAAACCCATAATAAAGATATTTTTTTTTCTTAAACTAATATCAAAATTTAATTGAGCAAATACTAATCCATGCCAAAGATGTAATAAAAAATCTTTCTATTTGGATGTGGATGATACATGCAATAAAGAAAAGAACCACAAACATATTGCACTACTGAATGTATAGATCAATGTCAAGATGCACAAATGGAGTACAGCACACATTAATTTCAGTCAAGGACCTACATGGGCATATTTCTAGTTTTGTATTATGATGAATTCAGATTCTAAAGGAAAAAATATATTAAGTGCACAAGACTTTGTACCTACCAATTAACTTAGGTTTCACGTTAAAAAATGTTTTCTTAAAGAACAAACAGGATTTTGAAAAATGATGGGCACAAAACTTACTCAACCCTAGTACATAGGGGTGAGAGTTTGTTTGGTCTGATTGGATCTGAAATTTCACAAAATCAACATATCTGTATATTAGGTTTTTAACAGAGTAATAAATTATAATTGACCAATTTCAGTTCAGTTCTTTTAGTTTGGGAATTTGTGTTGGTAGGGAGGCCTAAAACTGAAAAAACAAACATGGGTTGGAAAGTGTTCCAATCTTCCATCACCAGAAGACTAGCAATACAAACATTAAAATGATTAATTTGGCTCCATCCTGCATAAACCCTAGACGTGTAGTACTCGTAATTCTTTTAAAATCAAAATCAGGCCTCAAATCAGGTTTGTATTATGAAACTTGAGTTCATTCTCTTCCTATATAAAAGTAGGTTTTTCATTTAGATGCTCAACCTGAGATAAATATATCGCTAGGGCCTCATAATTCCAGTGGTTATGGGTTTCTGGGCTAATTAATGAAAACTTGAGGTCATTCTCTCGCCTATATAAAAGTAGGTTTTTTCCATTTAGAATAGCTCAACCTGAAATAAATAGTAGTATATATTCATATATATATATATAGTATAGTATATAAAGAGGAGAAGACGAGAGAGAGAGAGAGAGTTAGGAGAGGAAACAAGAGGGTTGAAGAAGTTGAATGGGCAGTACTTCCCATCTTACATGACACAGGCAATTTTGAAAACAGAAAAAAACTGAGACTGAATCTGCCTTTTGGATTGGTTTTATAGAAACTAGAATTATTTATATATAGAGAGAGAGAGAGAGAGAGAGAGAGAGAGAGAGAGAAACAAGAGGGCTAAAGAAAGTGAATGCAGTACTTCCATTACATGACACAGGCAATTTTGAAAACAGAAAAAAACTGAGACTGAATTCTGCCTTTTGGATTGGTTATAGAAACTAGAGTTATTTTCTCCTTGAAATAGAAGTTGATTTATCCTTTAAAATACTCATCCAAAAAATTGCAAAAGAAATTTAAATAGAAACTGGAGGTCTATAGAAAGCGAATGTAAGAGTTATTAGCTAATGATTTTCTCATTTTGGATCTCTTTCGATCTCCCATCAATTTGGTTTATAGATATATAATCAGACTTGCATGTGGGTATCTTGCAATAAACTGTAGCCAAAGAGCAACGTACATAGGCAGAGCTCGATTGTGAAGAATAACTGAAAGCTTTGGTAATCAAAGATCAACAAAATAGCAAGCAGCGGCAGACAAAGAGCGAGTTATGTGAGAGAATTGAAAAGATTGAAATGCCAGGATAGAGTTTCTTTAGAAGTATAAAGCACTAGCTCTAAAAAGTCACAGTTTAACTAAGCAAATCTTTATTAAATTTTAAAGCTTAAAAAAACCAAAGTTAAAATAAAAATTTCCAAAATAACAAGTGAACTGAATTTCAGGTTTAACAAAACAATCCTCACCTCTCCCAGTACATAGGAATCGCACCAGGAAGACAGAAATATAAAAGGATTGCACATTATAATTATATATAACCCAAAACTTGTAGGAATTTGACCTGCAAGTGCAGACATTTGATACAGTTCATATGTATAATAATTTCTTCACGAAGATCATGCAAGCCTGTCCATAGATGTACGTTTTTGTAGGCCCAAAAACCATTTTTCTACCAAATGATGTTTTCTTATATGATCAGGAAAAAACAACTATCCCCAGCTTCCTAACTTGTAGACTTTTCTACATGCTACTGATTCAAAGATAGTTGACTTTAAAAATGACCGAATGAGGGAATAAAACAAGTACCAATCGTTTTCTATAAGCCATCTCAACAAGCTGGTCCATAGCAACCTTGTCAGTGATCCTGCAAATTAAACCGCATTACTTCAGTCCAAATATAACATTTCATGAATATGACACCCATGATATCCCACCATAATGAAACTAACCTCTTTTCTGCTTCTTTCCCTTTCTGAACAGCCTTATCAATTTTACCTAACTTCCTTTTCTTCCTTCCAATCTATCAGTTAATAAAAGATGTCTTAAAAGATGTGATATGAAAGGAAAAAAAAAATGATTTGAAAGGAAAAAATTTGAAACACGAATAAAACATTTGTAAAACAGAAATTTCCAGAGAGAAAATATACAAAAACTTCTCTAATTTCATCTTTGTAGTTAAGGAAAAAACAAGTATTTGTGGCACAAAACCTGCTGATATAGCCCTTCCTTGAGCTCCATAATGTCTTGATTTATCACTTCCTCTCCCTCCGCCAGATCAGGCTGCAAGGAAATATATAAAAATTGTAATAAATTATGAACCAGAACCATAAATATGACTTCACAAAATAATCAAATAGAGCATACCAATGTCTCTGGACAAAGACCCATACTCTGCAGCTCCAATAGAACCCTATCATCAAGACACATCAACTGATACTTGTGATCAGAGGAAGGGAAGCAAGATGCATTTAATTCCTGACCCAGATCATTCAAACATATTTCACTGGCATGCCCAATGTCTGAATGTGAAAATTCATCATCTCCTGGCCACTGTTCGTTGCTATACAAGGAATTGCACATGCTTGGATTCCTAATTGTGTTAGATGCAACACTCTTATCGCATGAAAGTCTATCCAATAAACAATTCTTCTGGTTCTGAAAACTTAATTTTGACTCGACTTCAGATTCCACCCTATCCCTATCCTTGGGTTCAATATCAATCAGATTACATGAGCCACAATGAGAATCATCACTGGCATAATGAAGAGACATGCTCTTCACTTCACCATGGATGGAAAATTCTTCACTTTCATCCTCTTCAATTAAAGCAGAAAGAACCCTCTGGTACAATGGAGCACCCTTTTCCAATCTTCCCATGTCAACCTTTCCACATACAGAAGCCTTCTTAATTGATTCTTGATTAGAGTCTTTGCCTTGTCTTTCACCAGAACAATCAGGTACTTCTTTATGCACAAGAACACCCTATGAAAATGAACTCCAAATTAACCAATGTTCCTTTAATATGTTGAACTTAGTTCCCAAGTAATATTTATTTCCTTTGAGGTTATTTGAAATTCAAAATTGATTTTCCATCATGAAAGTAGGAAGAGACTTTAAGTTAATTGGATTCTGAACTTTTCTCTCATAATAAGGAGATGCTGAATGCTTAGAGTAAAAAAATAAAAGATGAAAGATTACCAAAAAATTATATTCACCACTAAGCATCTGAGACAAATTCCCATCAAGCTCCTCTGCAAAAGTTAGCTGATATAACAGCAGAGCAGAAAAAAGAAAAGAAAGTTTAAGTCCCCAATGCCAAGTCCATAAAATCACAAATGTATCCACCTGCCTAACTTAGTACCTGTTGCTTTAGGTAGGACAGGTCCTCTGAGCTTACAGAAGCAAAAATAGTTTCCATTTTCTTCCAAAATAGACTACAGCATGCTCGGTCTACAAAAATAAGCATGTGTAATTTTTATGTACAAAAAGAAAACGGGATCGAAAGAAGAAAGTTCAGAAAAGGTCAAGACACATACTGCTAGCATTTCGAGCAGAATTAGCAGCCACGAATAGTTCCTCACGATCATCATCAGATTCACCTGTAAAATTAATTCCAACGGATATCAGGAAACTTTGTTACCAAGATTTTCATCAAGGAAATTGGTACAACTTTTTCACCATATATCCGTCAATTTAGAGCCATTGCATATGTAGAGTTATACAAGGTAAAATCTCAAAAGAAAACCAAATTAGTTATCCAAAATGGCATTGACAGCATTGACATAAGCACATAGAAGCAAATGCCCTTTTCGAACATTTGCCAGACCTCCAAGAACTTGTAAAATGCAACAACAATAGTCTTTTAAGCCGGCAAATAAAGTTCATCCATCAGGGAAAGTCTAATAGTCTAATCCTTGCAACATAGGATTGAGATTTATAATGCTCATGCAAATAACAAATTTGACAGGTTTTTATATCCTACCATAAAGCTAAAATCTGAAAACTGCAATTGATGCAACAATTTCACTGATTAATTATTTCTACCTGTGAAATACGAAGATCCTCCATTCACAATTGTCCCAACACGAGTTAAAGACTTCCGCTCTTTCAACTTTTTTGAGGGTGGACGACCAGTTTTGCTGATTCCAAAAAAAAAAAAAAAAAAAAAAAAAAGATCCTCCACTTACACAAATTGGTTCCGCAAGCGAGTTTTAAAGAGACTTCCGCTCTTCACTTTTTTGAGGGTGGACGACCAGTTTTTTGCTGATTCCGAAAAAAAAAAAAAAAAAAAAAAAAAAAAAAAGGCTTCAATATTCAGAATACTGTGAGGGGAAGTGAAAATAAAGTTTTTAAGTTGCGGATCGGGCACCATGGCAGTGTTACCTTTTATTCCTATCGGAAGCAGGTTTCATACTCTGAAGTGGCTTCATTGTCGGTAGATTCTCTACCTTCTCTCTCACTGTATGAAAACCTGGCCTTGTTAAGGATGAACCTCTTCCACTCCTTCCTTGTCTCCGCACACCATCTCCAATATCATTGGTATGTAATTTATTTTTCCTAGCCGGTAGAAAGGACCCAACTTTCTGAGGTGCATTCAAAGTAACCTCACCACTATCTGTTCCTTTATCTTTAGGTTTATTCTCCCCAGCACCTGACTCTTCACTTTTAGATAACCCAAATGGAGATGGGACACTTTCAAGTTCCCTCTTAAACTTGGGAGTATTATTTTCTATACCGTTGGCAACTAGTGATCCATTGGTCCCAAAGGAAGTTCTGGGACTAAAGTCATTGGTTGGGAAACCATGAGGTGAAATCTGACCTTCAACATGGTTTGAAACAGGAGCAACTATATTGGCTCTCCTTGTACGTGAGTTTTTATGTGGCCTCTGACCAACCCACTGAGCCATGGAAGACGAACCTACAGATATTTGACGCTTATGATTATTTACCACTCCAGGCATAGATACTTTATGCGAATTTGTAGGCTGTTCCACACCTTGAAGAGATGAAGATGAGGACTGAATTTTGAGCGATGAGTCTAGCATCATGATGGAGCCAGTTCGTGGCGCCCGAGAAACCTTTGCTTTTATCGTTGTATTAGGACTGCTAGCTAAATTATCTTCATGGACATTTGGCCTGATAAACAACACCACAAAAAGGTCAATAACCTAATTATGACCATCTAAAAGAGAGAGCAAGACACCAAAGCAGCAAGATGAGAAACTTGACAGCTTTTCCATCAATTATCAACTCTGCATATCTTCTAAAGAGGATAAGTGATAATTCCAAGATGAAAAATACATACTTATTGCTTCCTTTTGTGAAAGTCTTTTGCTCCAAAAGGGCCAAACGATCTCTTGGAAGAGTTCCCGAATCCATTTCATTCCTGAGTATCGTACTGGTATCTGAACCGCTAGGCTCTAAGGAACCATCCAACTTGTTGATTCCACTCACACTCGGTGAAGATTTAGATCTAAAATGCATAAGAACTCCCATTAACATAACAAAACTTGTTTTCCTTCATTTTCCCCCATAGTTATCGAAACAACATATAACAATTTTAATCAGTACCATAACAATGACTAAGTTAGTAGGATACAGGGCCAAACATAATCAATGAGAGAGGGAAAAAACAGCAACTAACAAACTGGTGACACACAAATGACGCACATAAAATTTCTACTCGTTAATTAAGAATCGATGAAGACACTCCATGATTCCTAAACAAAGAACGAAGCTTTCTCCCAAAGAAACCAAAAGTAATATAGTTTCACAATGGATGACTAATAATATTTTTCAGAACTAAGGACTATGAAAAGCAGACGTCTTCTCTAAGTGAACAGCCTTTATATTCCCAAACTTTCCTGAAACCATTCTATAAGTTCATGTTGTTGTGCCTAATACTCCTGCAAAACAGAGCATATACAACGCAGACCCATTCACCATGCTAAATCAAAGCACAGCAAGCACCACGAAAACATTGCTAGCATGAACAATGCTTAACCACATATGGCAGCATTATTCTTTTTCAGTTTCATATTTGTCACACACACGTTATACAAGTGCGGGTGGCTTGCATACCCAACACTTCAACAGAAGAATGTCAAAGTTGTTAAAATGTTTACCTAATACTTGAACAACATCGTTTTTTTTTTTTTTTTTAATCCAATTAAGTTTCTGTGACGTGGATCAACCATGCATAGTTGCATACGAGAAGAATCAACTTGTATTCAGCAGTAAAAAGAAATAAAACTAAAAACTTCCTTAACAATTATCACAACTTTTTGGGTAAGTTGGAAAGCAACAGCAATCACAACTTGAATCTGATGAACGTTGAGTACAAAGACAGGAAAACAAATTAATAAACTATTAAATCAATTACATATTGCAGCCATGGAGGCTGAAACAGAAAAACTCATAAACAATATCCAAAAGCATAGAAAACAATCTTGTCCAAACTAAAGACTTTCTAGACGGGCATGCATATAGACTCTCAATTGTAATAGACTAGGGGAATAACATTAAAAACATTGATGAAATCCATGGATACAACATATTACCTGAAACCCTGAGCATCACAAGATCGCAACTTAGAGTCAGCACTGATCTTTGCATGCAAAGTTCGTTTTACATCTCGATCACCATTTATAACTCTACCACCCACCACTCCAACAGATCGCTTCTTTTTATTTTTTGTATCCCATCCTTCACCTCCTGCAGGCAATCTTCGGATCTTTTCTTCAAATCGAACAGTAACCCCATTGGTGTCCTGGAGCATATCTCCACCCTTTTCCATGACCATCTGCTGCCTTGAGACAGCGATGGACCTACCATCTGCCTGGTTGCATCAAAGGAAAAAGAAAAAATATTAACTTAAAGAAATACACATGGGATTAACATGTGTAAAAAGCAGCAAGCAATTGTGTGGAACAGCCAGTCAGGGTTCAGAATCCCTGTTCCCTTCTCAAAGAAAAGAAGAAAAAAGGAAACAAGCTAAGTATGCAATGCAATGTAAAAACCACAAATACTCCTCTCACACTTGGAGCAGAATTGTGAAGTATCTTAATATGAAACTAATTATTTGATTCAAAATGAATTTCTAGCCAGGAAATAAACGAGACACAAAACATAAATTACTCTACTTCTTCAAAATCAATATTGAAAGAAATTACATATCGACAACATAAAAGTGGGGCAAACAGAATTATGAGGAACTTTCTCCCTCATCTAAGTTAAGAAGGAAGACTTGGAAACCAGGAAAAAATTAATTCCCCTCAGCATGAGAGTCAGCTCATAAAGTATTCTCACAAACAGAAGATCAAACAGCAAATTTACAAATAAAAATCAACAATAAAACTTAAAGTACAAACCCGCACATCAGCCACTGACGTCCGAACACGCTTATTAAGCCCAACATTCTTGGCCCTGTCCTCCAACCTTTGAGCCATAACATCGTGAGAGTTTCTATGAATTTGACTCACCAGTTTTGTTATATTTGCTCCATTTGTCCTCTCATTCAATAAAAGTTCACTCCTATGTCGCTTCTTTGAGCTTAAGGCTTCCTTATACTTCTCCAATTTGGATAAGGAATCACGCAACATTTTTGCTCTATCCCTGATCAAATGCATGACATCTTCATCAGTGAGCAACTAGGAAAAAGGCATTTTGTGAATGCTTCAGCAACCAATAATTAAATTACAACTAAATAATTAGTTCATTCTGAGCAAAATATGAAGAATCTATATAAGACAGCACTAAGGAAGAACTTTGAGGAATATCTATGAAGGGTTTTCTAAAATAGAGAAGCATAAATTCCAGGGGAAGAAGACATGCAGGCAACACAAGGCGATTTACTATATCTTTTCATGTATGCATCAAACACAGGCAATGAACTTCAAATAATCAAATTAATGTTTACCATCCTATGTCATTATACTCATATTTATTGATTTGGTGATACATAAAACCGGAGGTAGCTCTTCCTCTTTTCCCCTAAACCCCTAGTTCAAACTTGAGACCTAATAAAAGTACCAACTATTTACTGCATAACACTTCAATCATAAAGAGAAGCATGCCAGAAATAATACTATTATGGGCAAGAACAATATACAAGAGGTTGTTACAATATAAATACAAAATACCTAGCCTTTCTAGAAGCATCTTGTACACTTTCTTTGAAGTGTTTTAGTTCCTCTGTTGCCACTGGAGGTGGAGGCTTTGGATGGGCAACTCCAAAAGGATGGTCCTCTGCTGCACTTCCAAGAGGAACACCCAAAACCCTCCTTACCTCTCCAGAACGAGTATATTTCTGATAGCCCAATGTAATTTGTTCCAAAGGCAAGCATTGTGTCAAAGGTAGAATATCTGAGGTCATCGTCAAACTTCCTCGGCTTAAATTATTCCCTGGACTTAACATTATGCTCCAAATCTCTTTCTATCTCCTACTTCATGCAGCCAATGAAGAACACCAGGACCATCAAAAGGCAATGTGAGTAGACTGCCCGCCAAAGTAGGTTTTTTATAAAAAATTCATGTCAAACAAAGAACCTGTTTTTTCTTCCTGTAATTCACTTTAGATAAAACACTTAAAATTTGAGAGAAAAGCATCATTACATTAAAGATTATGCTTCCAGTATAAGAATAGATCATACAGATTTACAAGCAATACTCAAAACAACTGCACTGTCAGACAAAGGAAACAAACTACTTTCATTTTTTGTTCGTTCCTCCAGAAAAATTAACAGAAATAGCACAAAAAGCCAATGCTTAAATCATTTACTATCATGTATCCTCTATTTCCTCTGGAGAAAAAACAGAAAAATTCTACAATTGTACAATCAGACAGCCTACTCCATCATATTCAATAATCTAAAAGCTACAACTCACTGGTTCTTACATAAGCCAATCAAAGAATAAAAAATTCAAAATTCCCAAAATTTCCAAAAACAATGAAAACAACAAAAGTAATTTCTTAATCTCCAATTAAAACAAAAAAAAGAGCTCCAAACAAAAATCAAAAAGCTTGCAATTAATTTGGGCCAAGCATAGTATAACCAAACACATTACGCGATAAAAAAAAGTTGAAGCAATAAATTAAACAAGCTGAATGAGAACTAGCAAACCCTAGGTGAAATCAAGAACCTTAGCTGTCTTACCTACAATAGGGTTAAGGTGAATCAACAAAAAGGCGAAATCGACAGAGAGGAATTGAAAATTACCTGAGATTCAACGAAGTCAAGAACAGATCAAACCCGCTTCCAAACTATTTTGAGGACGAAAGAGAAGGAAAAGGAAATGTAAATTATGGCGTTAATGTAAAAAGCGGGAGAGAGGGATTCGGTGTTGTGTCAGCGCGTCTCTCTGTTAATTATGGCGTTAATGTAATAATATATACTACATAGATTCTGTACGTATATACTCAAAACTCCACCTTTTTTAGCGTTTTGGAGGTGGGAAACGGATCGGATCTGGTTCGGGTCACTTCTTCGAGCGCGGATTGTTTCAGATTCAGGTGGTACAAGCAGAATATGCTGCATTTGTCTCATTTTTTCTTATATTTTCTTAATATTACTAGTTTTTTAGAGCGTGTTACTTACGCGTTCATACTCTATTATTTATATCTCGCTCTTCATACTTATTATTTATTTTTATTAAATTACTTTATTTACTTTGATCAGTTTGTATTGTTTATATTTGCATAAAACAGTTAAATAAATAATAAATTATTGAAATAAAAATAAATTGTCTTATTCTTTCAATTGATTATAATTGTTAATTTTCATAAATTATACAAATTGACATCATCTGTCTCATGGTCCCTTTTAAAATGTCTTATAAAATTCAGAACACGGGTTCTCTCCAATGTTTAAATGACTATTGTTAGTTTTGAATTTTTTGCAATAGCATTGATTAATATTTTGAATATCTTAAAAAAAATTCATAACAATTTCTTATTTTATTTGTTAGCCAATCTAAGTAAAGGATAATTTATCATTATTAAATTTAACCACGTTTTTCCACCTATCCTAATATTACACTTCTTCTTGATACTTTTACGTATACTAGTTTTTTTTATCCTACACTAATCGTTTAATTTTTTATTTATATAATATTAAATATTAAAGTGTAAGTTCTTTTTTAGATTAAAATAAATATAATGGTTAATTTTAAGCTCATCTAAGTAAAGGATAATGTTTATCATTATTATTTAAACCAACGTTTTTCCCAACCTATCCTAATATTACACTTCTTCTTGATACCTTTTACGTCATACTTAGTTTTTTTATCCTACACTAATCGTTTAATTTTATTTATATATATTAAATATTATTAATTTTTTATTTATATAATATTAAATATTAAAGTGTAAGTTCTTTTTTAGATTAAAATAAATATAATGGTTAATTTATATTATATTGTGCCCTAAAGGTACTTATAATTATATAATTATTCTATTTTCATACAGTGAAGTGATCTCAAAAGTTTAACTTAATCCCTAAATCTAATCATTCAACCCCTAATTTATAAATACAGATTCTTAAATCCTTAATAAGTGTTCAAAAAAATCAAGTTATCATTCAATCCTAACTTTTCACTCCCTCCTCTAACCCAAAATTTTATTTATATGTACAACAATGAATAAAAAAATAAAAAATATTTTTTACTACTAGATAAGATAAAAAAAATGAAAAGATGATATTGAATTATTTAAAAATAAAACGAGTCAAAATAATATTGGTAATCACTTTGGCCGTACTACTTACCACTGCATTTAGAAAGAGGAATATATATACATATACATATATCCTTAAAACCCCAAAAAATAATCTAAAACAAAAACATACGATTCTAGTATTTTCTTAGTTTGCCAAATAATATTTTCTTTCAAGTCAAATAAATTTAGGATATAAGAGGAAAATATCATTAAAAATGATTAATCATCGAGAGGTCATCATTTATTGTAAAGGAGATACAAATAAAACTAGGACTATTATAGAAAATATCAGATACCTTATTATTTAAATTTTTCTTATTCTTATTACCTTATTTAATATATATTAAAAAATAAATTTAAAAAGTTTGAAAAATAAAAAATTTTCAAATGCCTTATTATCGTATGTATTTATTTAAATAAAATAATTTAAACAAAATTAAAACGTATAAATTTTGAAAGGCTTATCTATCTACATGTATTTATTGAAAACAATCCAAGATTTTTAAAGATTTCACACTCACCTTGGCGTCCATTAGTCATGGCCATATTACGGTTCCGGGAACCGGAACCGTCGGTTCGAACCGGCCCGGAACCGTAACAACCGTAACCGGAACGGTGAGAACCGGAACTGGGATGAATCGGAAACGGAATCCTGAAAAAAATTCGGTTTCGGTTTCAGGTTCCAGCAAATGAAGGCCAGAACCGGCGATTTCCAGAGATACCCGTCGGAACGCGGACTAGAACCGCCGGTTCTTCCGTCCGGTTAGATAACCGTCGGTTCGAACACGGCAGTTTCTAGCCGTTGTAAACGTCAGATTTTTTGCAGTTTTTTTTTTTTAATTTTGTTTGTGAAATGTCTTAATTACCCTCTTAACAGCCAATAAACGGCTTATATAACGGCTAGTTTTTAAGGGTATTTTTTGGAAATGAATTTTGGATTTATTATAATACCATCATTTTATTTACAATTCATTACACAAAATCTCAACTCCCTCTCCTACTTAGCTCTCTCTACCAAATATACTAAAGCATACACTCTACTCTATATTAATTCATTTATTCTTCTCTACTCTACCAATCTCCTCTTATTAAGTAATTATTCTCCTCTAATTTTTTTTATTCCAATTTTCCAAATTATATTTTATTATCATATAATGGCAAGTGGAGGAAACTCAAATTCGGGTAAGGGCAAGGGAAAAATTGGGGAAGAATCATCTATCCCTACAAACGACATCTATGATATGATTCCGCGACCTAATTTAATTTTGAAAGGTTTTTCCAATGAAAATTTGGAATATTCGCAACTCAAGAATCCGAATTTTTAATGAGCAATTTCAAGAAGATGAAGAGCAAGAGCAAGAGCAACGAGCAAAAATTGTTACAAGAGTAAGACAAAGTTCCGACATATTCTCCATTTATTTCACAAGAAAATTCAAAGGTGAGAAAATGTACGATATAATTTGCAATTATTGTGGAAAATCTTATAAATTTAAATAAGCGGACGGCTATGGATCATTTTGGAAGCATTTGGAGGCAAAACATCCAACAAAAATAGTAGTTGATCGGTCTCAACAACAAATTTCCGGGTACGCTTCTAACCTTTCTTTATTTAAATATTCTGAAAAAATATAAAAAGAAGAATTAGCAAAAATGATTTCTAATGGAACATTTATCTTTTAGTTTTTGGTGAAAAAGGTAGGTTTTTAATAAAATTATTGTCAAAAGCTTTAATCCTTTGTGCTAAAGAGTACCAGAATACTGTAATGAACTAATTATTTTCTTTATATATACAAGGAAAAAAAAGAGTTTTAGGAGCTTTTATTTTTCTTCAATTGAAATTCGTGTTTCAATTTGTTGTGATGTTTTTGGAGTGATCATTGGGCAAATGCCAATTCTTATATGGGTATTACATGTCATTGGATTGATGAATGATTTGGAAAAATTCATAAAAAGACATTATTGGTTTTCGTGTTTTGATGATAACATACTGCAAATATATTTATAAGAGTAATGTTTTCAATTTTAGATGAATTGGTTGACAAAAAAAATTTTTTTCAATTTCATTTGAATAATGCTTCTGCAAATACTAGATCACTTATTGACTTAAAAAAATTTGTGAATCAAATTTTGGTGGTAAATTTTTTTCATATAAATGTGCATGCCATGTTTTAAATTTATGTGTACAAGATGGTTTGTAAAATTCTTTTGATCTTTTATTTCTCCAATTAAAAAGCTATTTCATATTTATGGACACATCCCCAAGTGAATGAAAGTTGGGGCTATATGAATTTTTGTAAAGAAATAATAAAAGACCAAACTTTTCCCAAGGATGTCTCAACTCCGTTGGAATTTCAAATAGTTGGAATTCAACATATGAATTATTAAACGAGTCTTTTTCATATAAAGAATTATTGTGCACTTTTGTTACTAACAATATTGAAGAAATTAATTTTTATATATAAAATTGGGATATTTATGCAAAAATTTTGGATATTTTAAAAATTTTTAATCTTGCTACATATAAATTTAGTGGGGTTTAGTATCCCACATCTCATTTATTTTTACCTACATGCATTAATATTGTTAGTGCACTTCAAGAATTTGAAAATGATATTTTATTACAAAATTGTATTTTATCAATTAAAAAAAATTGTTATCTTATTTTAAAAACATACCACCTCTTTATCTTGTTGCTTGTGTATTTGATCCTACATGTAAATTTGAAGTTTTATCTGAATATTTGACTTTTTACTGTAAAATATTAAATCTTGATATAGAAGATAATGTTAATATAAATAAATTTGTTCAATATTTTAGTTCATCTACTTCTTCTAATTCTTCTCAATTCAATAATCAATCATTCCCAACTGAAAGGGTAAGTGTTGGTGTTGCTGAACGTATATTACTACAAAATTTTCAACATAAAGGGTAAGTGGTGTTGGTGTTGCTCAATAAGTTTCATTGCAAAGACAAAAAAGAACAAGGGAATCCAGTTCTATTTCTGAATTTGATAATTATCTAACAACTTCTTTTGAGTTTGGTGATGATTATGCTGATGCAGATTTTCCAATTTTAGATTGGTGGAGTCGTCACGCAAATACTTTTTCAATTCTTTCTTTACTTGCAAAACAAATTTTAGTAGCTCCGGTCTCCACTGTTGCGGTCTCCACTGTTTGCCGGTTGAAACAACTTTAGTCAAAGAAGGTAACATACTTGATGAAACACGATCTCGTATGACACCCGATTCATTAGAAGCACAAGCGTGCGTGGATGATTGGACCAAAGCCGAACTAAGAAGCCCAAAGAAAATCCAAAAGAAAATGAAGATTTTATTTTGATTTATACGATGGGTCCTCAACGGGAACATCAACCGTGGGTGGCATAGCGATTAAGGTAAAAGTGTGAAATTGATATAAGGTAAGTAAGAACTACGTGGGCTTTGATTCCTCTAAACCCCAAGAGGATACGTAGGCACTTAAATTTTTTTTTTAAACAAAAAAAAAATTTAGTTCAAGCCCATTTTTTTTTTTAAAAATTACTGTTCAAACTTAAAAAAAAAAAAAATCAAGTTCAAAATTTTTTTTAAAAAATCATTATGTTCAACACTCAAACTATTCAAGTCTTTAAAAAATAAATTTAATTTGAAAGTATTTTTTTAATTTTTTAATATTCAA